GATGAACCTTCCTGTGTCCATTGCAGCAATCCAGGCTTACTAGCTAAACCTCATCCAGTCCCTCCACCTTGCGTTCGCCATGAACTCGATGTCCAAGGCGGACATGGTTTTGGCCCTTCGCAGCTTCGGCGAGGAGCCCCCATCAGGGTGGACCAAGGTGGACCTGATGTGCCGATTGGGGGAGCTCTCCGACTTGGGGGAGATCGAGATGAAGTCCGGGAAGGCGGCCAAAACACCGCTGCAACAGGCGGTGTCCGAGCTCAACAAGGCGAGCCGCAAGAAATCGGAATTGGTGCTTCATGTGGAAAAGAACCTGGGCATGCTGGTGAGCCCGAATGCCACCATAGCCACCATACAGAAGGCGGCTATGCAGCAACTCCGATGTGATGGGCTTCGGGAAGTTCTCAGAGAGAACATACCTGGAGGTTTGGAGCACGGAGACGTCATATTGCGGATGGGCCAAGGACACCTACAAGGAGGAGAGCACGTCCATCTACCTGAGGCGTTTCGTGGAGTGGATGCTTCAGAAAGAGGCCTCGGGTACCAAGCCGAAGGTGGTGGTGGGGTCGCCCAAGAAGAAGTCCAACCCCACCAAGAGCCCATACAAGATGGAGGCCAAGTCAGCGACAATGGAGACACCGTCGGCGAGTTCGGCTGCCAGCCCGGATGCTGTGACCCAGCTCACGGCCATGGTTGCTCAACTCGCCACCGAGATCAAGGAGATGAAGGAGGAGAGGGCGAGCTCCCAGCCGCGCAAGGTCGCAGCGACCCAGGACATCCCGATGGTCCAGAAGCCCAAGGACTTCCGCTTAGTCAGACCGCTGCCAGTGCTCTTGCATACAAGTCTCAACTTGTAGTCCCCAACATGTTTGAAGAGCTGGTAGGTAAAGAAAGATTGGAGTTCATGGAGATAGCTTGTGAACCAGATAGCCTGTTGACCAGCGCGTATCAAGCCAGGACGGGACGAAGTGAATCCGCTTGTAGGAGCTCGCTTTGGTGTGGTCACGACTTGGCCACACAAGAGGGTTTGGCCATTGTTGTAGAGCAGATTAGGACCCTCAAGCCCAAAAGAGTTTGGATCTC